CTCTCTGGATCGTTATATTTGCTACTTCTGCCCAAATTGGCGTATTACAGTTGCCTCAGCGAAGAACGTACCTGCCTATGAAAAAGCAGAGGACCCAACTTTCGTTCTGAAAAACAATATCCCCATCGATACAAAACACTACCTCACAAATCAATTGGCGAAACCTCTTGCAAGGATATTCGAGCCGATTTTGGGTGATCGTGCTGAACGAGTAGGTTTTTTCATCTTATAAACCTTTTTGCTTCTTGTTTATGCAACTATCGGCGGTATTGCCTATGAAGAAACTAAATTCTTCCCCCTGAATTTTCTTCGGGTTCCGCTGACTGCGACGAAAACATGGATCACCAATCATCCATTACCTTCCCGATGGTCCTTACAGCTTCTGTCATCTGTCTATTTCACTCTGATCAACTTGCTGACTCTTCAGGAGTACGTTAGCCCTTTGGTAATGTTAAAGCTAGTTTCCTGTTGTTGTTGCACTCTTGTCTTTGGTTCTTGTAGTTGGCGGACCAGGGTGAATATCGCTTCGAGGATTCCTCAACGGCACGTCGAGGATTTTCGCCTGATCAGTTACGTTCTCTCGCGCGGACATTCACACTCGCCATGCGCGAGCCGTCTGCTCTCCGCGCGTATGTTCACTCTCGGCACTACTCTCGCACAGTAGAGAGCATGGTCGAGGATTCCTCGACCGTTATTCACCCTGGTCCAGACACTTATCGGTCTCGAAGCGTCATAGTCTTTTGTCTGAAGATTGAAATGTTCCTTCATACCCGCTTCTACTCAGGCCGATAGATGGCCAAGTATAGGAAGTGACAAACGCATGATCGAAAACCCTACATTTATTGTGATCAAAACAGTCGTGCAATCAGAAATGGAACATTTGTTTTCCAGGCGCTGATTGAAGGCGAACACACGAGAGTCAGGACAGTGGTTCAGAGTAAAGTTGGTGGCCTTGCTGCCTTCACGAAAAAGATGGTCACCTGCTTAGGGTTTGTGTTTGATTCTAAAGACTACCATGTTGTGACCCTAATTAGAATTTAGTGTTAACACACGTTTTAGGTGCAAGGCGGTGCTAAAGGACCAAACCCGTGCTGTTTGCGAGTTCTGCATAACAAAAGGAAAATTGCCCGAAATATATGCCAGCAGGTATTACTGTTCAAATTAAGGCACGCGCGCGATCATCTTGCAGTATACTCAGCAACATTTAATGTGTTGAGTCGTGCTTGGCCGACAAAGGCATTATTCGACAGAACTGCGACCTAACACAGTGAATAAGAAGAGTACATATGGGCCAAATGGCAGGCAGAGTCAACCCTGCGTTGCGCAGTTCTCAACGGCCACGTTGCGCAGTTTCGCCCGATTAGACACGTTCTCTCGCGCGAACATTCACACTCGCATGCTCGAGCCGTCTGCGTCTCCGCCCATACAGCGTGCGTTGAGGATCTCTCAACGTGCCGTTGCGAACTGCGCAACGCAGGGTTGACTCTGTGGCAGGCGAGACCATCCGCGAAAGCTCGTTCACTCTTCTGGTGAACTCGCTCGGTCTCTATTTCTGTCTCGTGCGTTGCAGGCTACCTAGCATCCGGTTATAAGCGTTACCACCGTTATGTGCAGATTAAGTTAGGCATTCGGGTATTAGGAGGCGCCTGAGTGCCTTTCAAACTATGTTCAACCAAATGAACCGCACTTTCATGTTTTTCCTAATGAGCCAAATTCTTTCATCTGAAAAGTGAAAGAGGATGTGGCCAAACAACGCATGTCTACTGTTTCAAAGGAGGAATTCACGATAAGAACGAAGGGTCAAAGAAGGGGAAAATTGCATAGTTGGGAGACAGGCGGACCTCCTGAGGGTGCTGACCGACGCGCAAATGGCAGCGAAAGATTTGACCTCGGCGATCTAGCATGGCTCACTCTTGGCGCGGTTGGCGGGGTACGCCCACCGACTATCTAATCACTCGCCGCAGGTCTATACGTGGCGAGTGATTAGATAGCAGAGAGAGCGTAGTGTTGAAGATTGGCACAGCGGTGAGAGT